TATGTTCATCATGGTTAATTATCGTGACCTAATTAAGTCATTGTGGTTTAGAGCTGACTTTCATAATCCTATCTATTAACCGAATAAAAAATATATATCAAATCGAATTTTATAAGCACATCTATATCCATGCAGATTTTTAATCTATCTCCTAATTCAAACGTTAGTTAATATGATTATCTTGTCACATATGTAATACACGCATTCCACATGCTGCAAATTGGATAATTGTGGCAATATTGGGGGGAACAGTAATATACATCTGCATACTTGTCCTCAAGTTGATAAAAAATGCTTCTTGATGCCCTGAAATAATGTTTGCTCAAAAGAAACTAATCTCTGGTATCCAATCAAAGAAACGGGCAATCTAATCAGTCAACAAATAAAAACAACTTTAGAGTACATGTTCTTGGTCAATGCCTTCCCTATCCAAAAGCTTCAAGTTATCCGAGTATTGATTTGAAGGAACAAATGCAGAAGACAAAACTGATAGTAAAATATTAGGTTTTTATTAAGTTGGGTCAAGTTTTCAACTAACAAATTCTGCACTTGTCGTTTTATTTGATCTTATTTTCTTATTGCCTTGTGTCTGATCAAGTCTCTGAATGCTGATTGCTGTCCATAACAACTGTATCGGACTAGATTTTAATATTGAAGTTTAGAATGCATGCATGATCGAAAGTAAACGTGATGGTCTTCATCAAAGTGATAAAATGGGAGGTCTCTGTCTTGATGTTTGTGTTGTATTCCTTGATTGATATTTTAAACTAAATCTTAATAATATACCAGAAGCAACGACACATGGTTCAACAGGTCAAATATGCTGAACAGTGTATTAGAAGTTTTGAACATTGTATGAAATTATATGGAATATCTTTGCCATACTGATTTTTATGAGACTTTAGAGCGTGCCTTTTATTTTATATATTATACATAATGAATTAACAAGCTTGGAATTAATTACTCAGACTTGATGGTGAAAACCCAAATGGGCAAAATAAGCTAGCATGGGCTTGCTTTTATTTGTGAGATATAGGAATTTTGGTCATTTTTAATTATACCATAGTACCGTTGGTCTTGACATCATAGCTCACACATTTTGTATGTAAATACGCAGAGCTTTCTCACACCATAGCTCAAAGTCCACAAGCCTTCCTTAACCTAGCTTTCTAGTTATATAGATATATAATTGAGCAAAATCATAGCAACATGCTATCTTTTGTGATTTTTTAATTTTATTTTCTATCAGGGTATATGTTGATTCTAAAGGTGTTTATATAATTAAGAAACGTTAAGATATTAATCTGGATTACAAAGCCAAAAGACATCTTCTTACTTGAATCTCTCTACAACCACCCATAAGAGCTTTTCTATTTTATTTTTAAGAAGGTACGATTCATTAAGACGAATAAAACGTACAAGTTGATAATAGGTACATAGATGGGTCTTAATAAAAAACTTGTCTAGGATTTCAACTCGTTCGAAGAAAAAAAGATTGTCCCGCACAAGGAACTATCCTCAACGAAATGTAAGGGAAACATTACAATTGATTATCTTCTAATAGATCCTCTAAAATCAAATCTGGATGGTCTCCTTCCCAGGGTACTTCGACGGAAGCACCCAGTCCCATACGAGCCAATCTATGGGCAACTTTGTTTGCTTCCCGATGCACAAACTGCAGCATAATACCATTGATACCATGTAAAGCTCCTGTGATGTCATTGATTAGGGATCCCAGTAGCGAATTATCTTCCTCTTACCGACTCACAGCTGCAATGGCCACACTCGAGTCCCTTCCAATACCACGTTTGAGGTAAAATTTTGATGTTCAAGAAAAAAGTCCACAGCTCTTCTAGCCGCATTCAACTCAGCATGAAGATGAGATCGATGATACTTGGCACAGATACCCAAAAGTTGCAGCAAAGGAAGCTGCCATTACCATCTCGCACCGTAAGAGCTTTTCTATTAGTTATAATACCTAATAAAGAGTATTATATAAGTGTAATGTGCATATATAACAGAAATAGAAACCCTTAATTTATATGGAGTACAGAACCATAATGACATAGATATGCATCATAAGGCCATGCATCTATACTTCTTAAGTAGGTCCATAATAGGATAAGAACCTTATTGCTCATATTATATATTTATTCTCACAAATCCTTAGATCAAGGCCAAATTTTAACAACTCAGATTTATTAATTTCTTTTTCTTTCGCATTTAAGGAAAATGCTATAACCCGTTTGTAAACTGCTTATAAGTACATTTTTATTGAATATTTAAGCACAAAAACAAAAACAAAAAAATTAGTAAAAAGAATTTGTACTGCCCGTTTTTTGTTAGCCCAACATCTCTAAAATGTCCTACATAAATTTTACAAATCTTACGGTTCAACAAAAATGACGCAAAATAAGTTTTATGATTGTTTTTGTAGAAATTCAAAAAACCAATTAAAAACAATGAGTGTTTGCTTACATTATTTCTGAAAGCTTATTCTTTAATATTTCTGTGGATATTAAGAAAAATGTTCTAATGGATTTTGATAACCACATAGTCATATTTGACTATTACAGATAATTTTTTTGGTAACAACATAGTCATTTTTTAATATTAAAAAACATTAATAAGAATACAGGTGTGTCCTTCATCGGCGAAAACATCTCCAAAAATCCCTCATGGATTTTAAGAAGATTATGATGCTGCAGTACATTCCTAACTGTGCATTAAGTCTAGCAGTCCAAAGCAGTGCATGAAGCATGTTCATGGTTCATGACCTAATTAAGACAAGTGGTTTAAATCCGACCTCGATAATCCTAGCTATCAGTTGGCCGCCGAAACAAAAGTATATATATGTCAAATAATTAAGCATCAAATTGACATGTTAGTTATTGTAATTATCTTGTATATGGGAATAGAAGCTAGATTATTATATTCATCTTCACACTTGTCCTCAAGTAGCTAGATAGAAATAAATCATGATGCCGGGAAATAATGTTTGCTGATCAGAAGATACTAATCTCTGGCATTCAATCAAAGAACGAGCCATATAATCAGTCAACAGATAAAACAAGTTTAGAGTACATGTTCTTGGTCAAGCTCTTCTTCCCTATCCAAAAGGCTTCAATTATCTTCAAGTATGTTGATTTGAATAATAAAATGCAGAGGACAAAACTGATGCTCAGTAAAATATTAGGTTTAGAACAAGTTTTTGTCTCATAAATTATGCGCTTGTCGGTATTATTTGATCTTATTTTCTTATTGCCTCATCACTAAAAATAACAAATAAAAAATGGATAGATGAAAATTATTCTATGGGGTTAAATGGGGTTTCGTCGTCTGAAACTTTAGGCGACGTACATTCGTATAAAAAAGTGGTTGTGCAAAAGTCGTTACTCGAAGTCTTTATCTAATGAAAAGAAGTCATTTGTCAACAAAATTGAGTTTGGCCGACGAAAAAAAGCGTTTGGTAAAAGGTGCGCTTACCGCCTTGACTCAACGAAAATATCTTATGCAATGATATTATTTCGTTGCCTCACACCAAATTAAATACTATTACAAACTGGACTCGATGAAAATTTCATCGGGTAACCGTTTGAAACACAAAAATAAAATAAATAAAAATTTCTGGTTCCTGTTGTAGAGAAGAGAGTGACAACGAGATTGCCGTCTGCGAGTAATGTTGGGAAGACGGTGGATTTAGTGAATTGACTGGAGGCTCACTCTTTTTATTTAATATATTGGCTTAATTTTTTTTTTTTTAATTTTAAAATATAAAATTTATTTTGTAATCAACATAGTACAATTGACTGCCATGTCAGCAAAATATAAATCTGTATTTGCCACGTCATCACTTAACAACTATTTGATGGGTTATTAATGGAGGTCTAATATTGCAGCGAATTCATAAATTAATGTATAATATTGCAATGTTCAAACAATGAGGTATGAATTTGTTATTTAACTCAAAGTTGAGATTATAAAACTGTAATTTACTTTATAATAAGGAACTTTAACGAAAAGCTCTCGGTCATGTTCACTTTAATGAAAAACCATATTTTTACACTAAAAAGTCAATCATAGTACTATTCACTTTACCCTTTATTTTGTCCTTATCGTTAAAACTCAAAGTTTTCAAACCATTTTCATTAGTTGTCTTTTATAATAATTGATACTTTGTTCATAAAGTGAGCTTTGCCAGGGTCATAGAGTGAAATTTATATAACTAATAATCCACCAACTTAGTTGATCTTCTTTTTACAACATAAAATTTAAAGAATCTGTACAAAAAACTTCTTATGGTAAATCTCCAGCAGTCTACACATTTGCTGCAATAATTTGAAAAGAAAGTAGCAAAAAAAAAAAAAAAAAATCCATTTCTAGCTAGCTTCGGTTTGCCCAGGTTTCAACTCTGATCAAAGGAATTGAATTCCATTCCAAAGTCATCTCATTCCCATTCTCTCCTCCAACTCTCACTCCAAACGAGCTATCTGCTCCCACAATTTCTTTGGCCTCCATTAACATTTTCCTGCTCACTCTCCTACCCTCCAGCCCGAACCAGGGATGAAGATTTCCACCTTCTCTTGCTTCGTTCCACTTCTCGAACCAAGCCTGAGAAGACACATACGGCGCCACAAACATCAACTCCATCACCATCCTTGCCTCTCCTAGATGGCTTGGGAAGCTCGATTCCAAAGACCCTAACAAGGCTTCGTAGTGCACAACATTCGCGTCAAAGAAGGAGCTGAAACCCGAGTCATTTTCCCTTTTCGCGCAAGCATCTCCGTCACCAAAGGTTATGATACCTCTTGCCGAATTGGCTAACAAATCCTTAGCTAACCTTAGGAATTCCATGAGAAGTCCTCTGCTTCTTCTCCTCCTCATGTGAGGAAGCCCTACCATAGAGTTGAAGGCTAGAAATTCTCTCCTTCCACCTCTCTTGTTGGCCTTCTTGATTAGGCTCACCAAATCCTCGATCGCGATCTCTTCCACCTTCAAGTTTAGCCCAAAGACCTCGCGTGATGCTGGAGTTGCCTTTTCGTCTCCTCAAATCTCCAATGTGGAGGAGCAACCTCATCACTCTCTTCCACATCCCATTTAATTGCTGTCACTTTTAGTGTCTTGTTTCTCTTTGCCACAGCCTCAATCATCTGGGACAGTTGAACCCCTTCACCGATATCAAATTCCACTACATGAACAGTCTCTACATCCTCTGGGACAGCCTCGAGGATCGCGGTGTTTGCTGCGTAGTGAGCAAATCTCCCAAAAGGGAAGATTTGGTAGAACAAGTTGAATGCAGCCTCGTAATTCTTGCAAGATTCTTGTTTCAAATAGTCTCTCTGCTGATTATCAACAACTCCTTGACATAAGTTGAAGGCAAGGCGCTCAAGAGGTTCAAGAGGTTGACCAAGTGGGTTTACTTTCTCCAAAAGGCATCTCATGATTACCTCCTCCAGCTTCCTCTGCCCCATCTCCATGGCCTCGCCGAACGCCTTGAGCATATGGCGAATTCTCACTTCGTTGTTGATTTCCATCTCGTCTCTCGGCAGGGTTATTGATTGTTGGACGGATGTCACATCCATAGAGGATGCCTCAGATGTCACAAAAGAGTTTGGACTCCACACACCATTTCCTTCAACAAAAAATTGCGGTGAAGGAAGCTGATCACAATCTGAGGCATACATATTTTCTATCTCACCCATCAAATAATTCGTCTCGAATCCTCCCAACTCCATGGGAAATTCCTCTTCCGCCATCCATATGGCTTGCAGGGGATGATCACAATCTGCAAGTTGTTCAAATTCACCAGAAAACATGGTTGAAAATGGAAAAGAACTAGAAGTTTCTGAAAATTCGTCCGATGGCATGAATATCGAAGAAAATTCAGAGCTCCCCATCTGCTCTGTGTATTCATTTGTATCCAAAGTTGAATTTGTTTCATTCAGGCATGGCCAGAAGGTCTGAAACTTCATCTCTGATTGCATCATCTTTTTCTTTATTGGTGAATATTTTTAGAGGGTTTGAAGACTTTTTCTCTTTGGGTTTGATTTGCTGATGAATTTTAAGCCATCATTATATATCAGTTGGTGACAACGTAATGACAAATTAATTAAACATAAAATAGTTAAAAAAAAACAGATGATTATTGAAATGGAGAATTATTAATCACTATGTTATCTTCATAAACAAAAGCCAATTGCTTTCACCAACTTTCTACACACTGTACACGTAATTCAACAAAAAGTTCCCAACTCAATTCTCTTCGCAGTTTTGGCTGCTTCTTGAGGTGGTGACTTACACGTCACACGTATCCTTTGTATTTTAATCAAGAAAATTAGATAGATAATGATTCCTGTCTTTTCAACGTAATTACCTTTCATCATAAGAAATATAACCTTAATTAATTAACTATTTAATGACTTATTGTGTATTTAAAAAACCCGGGAGCATTTTTGCTCTTATGTTCACCATCCTATTTATTACAGTTAGATGAGTTTGAATTTCGAGATTCGTGTAGTAAATAGGTACAAATCTCAAAATTCAAATTCATCTAACGATGATAAATAAGATGGTAAACATACACCACACTAAATGGTGGTGAGTAAAAATGCACTCTAAAATCCCTCAATGTGACCAAGGGTATAAGTCCAACTTGGTGACATAGTCCTGGTCATCCTTCCATACAGTGACACCTAGCTAGCTCTTTCACCTAGGGCTGGGTTCGGTTCGAAACGGTTCCATTTTTTGTCAAAATCAAAACCGAACCGAAATTTCGGTTTAGTTTGGTTCGGTTCAATTTTTTTTCAGTTCTGTTTCGGTTTATTTTTTGGTTTTTTCCATGAATTTTTTTTTTAATCTGGAAGAAATCTGCAACGATTGAGCAGTAAAGATGCAGAAACTTCTGCATCAAATGAATACGAACTGGGACGATCAGCCATGGATCTGACATTATTGGGTGTCGATGCGTCATTCTTGTTACGGATCCGAGAGCTCTCGCAGAGAAAACGCATGCATGTGTTAAATCTTTGATTTTTCCATGAAAATAAACTCAATAGAACTAAATAGCAGCCAAGAGAGATTTTTACCTTGGTGGTTTATTTTTAGTCCCAAACCTCTCGTCAGCAATGGCAACACTTATGCATTTGCTGCCAAATTGGAAGATTATAATATGCAAAACCCCAACAAAATAATTAAAAGAAAATCCCATTTTAATTCAGAAAATCACAATATAAATCATATTCGTTTTGATTCGAAAATTACCTTTGAGAGATCGGAAAACCTGGGTTAGAATCTCCCAATTCGAAGGGGTTCCGATTCCAAAGGGGGGGGGAGGGAAAATCATGGTTTGGAAGAAGGAATCCGCGAGGAGGACATGAGAAGACTGGAGAGTGCGATTTGGAGGAAGAGAGGAAGGGGAGAGAGAGAGAGAGATTGTGTCACACCTCGATCTCGACATATGTCCAGGATCAACATGTGACGTCACCAAATACTCGTATATCTAACATACCCCGCCTCCAGGATATGAATAAAGCACCACTCAAGGTCTAAATTGCGTAGTAATTTTCGAATATTTTATGGCTGCATCTAACCTCCTCGTTAAACTGCCTACGTACCCTCAACAGGGATCAAGCCCTTCGTAGTTCACCAATTCACTATACTCGAACATTCATCACATAAATCACTATGCCTCAACATATATCACAATGCCTATCATACAATATTACAAAGAACAAACAACGGAGCACAATCATATTCACTAGTCACAATGGTCAATGAGTCTAATAATAATTACAATAACCATAACCCACATGCTTCCATAATCACATCAAACAATAATGCTAAGCATCACATCATCAATAACACATACCATTCATCGAATGCAGGGCTAGAGCGACACAGTTTGGCCAAAGCCTATATCTCGGAAGAATAGGATTTTGGACTACTCAATGGAGCCAAGACAACAAAGGGGATTCCAGACCATCACTCAACATAATCCAAACCAGGATACGATTCCGGACCATCACTCAATGGAATTGCGGAGTAGAAGGGATTCCGGACCATCACTCAACGAAATCCAACCAGGATACGATTCCGGACCATCACTTAACAGAATCGTGGGTTATAAGGGATTACGGACCATCACTCAACGGAATTGCAGAGTACAATGCGTAACACCAATCAGTGAAACAAGACATGGATCAAGTTACTCAACTTACAAAGACTCAACTAAACGAGAATGAAATAATGACACGAGGGGTGACACATGTTTCGAAGCAACAAACCCCATGACAATGGGTTAACGGTCCACTACTAGCCCTCACATTTCATCACATCAATCCAATCATACAATATAAACCATATTTCCAATGCAAGTCAAATCATACTTAATGAAAATAGATAAATGGTCAGAAATGAAAATAACACTTCAATAGAATTCATATTTAATAAACATAGATATGTGGCACATATATATACACATAATTCACATTTCAATATAAATTTCATTTATAACCCAAATTATATTCACAAATGATATCAATATAAGAAATTAAGGTAATAATTACATCACATATATTCCAGTCACTCTCTAATCAATGTGGCCCCACTAGACTTCACCTAGTATCCCGTGGTAATAGATTTAGTATTTAAACATGTCGAGACATGTTAACCAAAATCAACTCTCGGTCAATGATAGGGTCCACAACCCTACGTAATTCGATCCGGAAGATCCGTACATCGGATTTCCAATCCATAACTCCCCAAAGTCCACATTATGTTCATAGAACCACATACTAAATTCTCATTGCGATCCATCGGTTGGATCATCCATTCATATAATAATCAAGTAATGTACCTTAATCAAACTAGGTTCACAATAATCAAAACACATCATATGGATATCAAATATGAGATCAAGATATCAATTTAGCGTAAAATAGCATCGACGGCCCACTAGCCACGCCCCGCCGCAGGTGTCGGTCGGCCACCTCAACTCGCCGGAACATTCAACTATTTTTAAAAATTACTAAATTTTACAGGCAAGTAGATCTCAGTGAGTAGAGCAAACTTTATACCTGTGGCCAAGCCCAATTTGGCCTGGAAAAGCCCTAATTTAGCTCGAACCCGCCAGAAACCCTAAGGTGAGTGTTATTCGATTCTCCTTCCTCGGTGTTCCAACGCCCCTACCACTGGTTGGATCTTGTTCCTGGGTCTAAGGGGAGTTGATTAAAGGTGGTGAAACTCGCCAGAACGACCGAATCGTTGTCGAACACCTCTGGGTTCCTCGCACTGTTCTTCACAATTTTTGACCTAAAAACCCACAATCTTGGGTGAAAATGGTAGAAGGGATGTTGTAGAAGAAGTTGCAGGTGTTATATGGTGGTGGTTGGACGGGAAAGATGGCGAAAATCGTCGAAATTTGCTCGGGTGTAGGGGCGTGGGTGTACGGACGAGAGGGAAGGTCTCTTCTTCCTATTTTTTTATCTTTACCCTTTCTTTTCCTCTTCCTCTTCATTGGTTGCTTCCCCCCCTTTTTTTTTTTTTTTTTTCAATTCTGATGGTCCCCTTAACCCCATATCGATCTGGGCTGCTTACCCACAAAGTGGGAGATAATTAATTCCTAAAATCTATAGTATCACAACTTCAAAAGTCCATAACTATACCGTTAGAATCCGGACTCGCAAACAGTTTTCGTCTATGCGTTCGTGGGATCGAGCTCTATTCAGAAATATAAATTGTGACCTCAAAAGATCTACGGATTTTAAATAATTAATTTCCAAACTTCAAACTTCGCAATTGGTTTAATTAAAATCTAAATTCAAATAAATTAATATAAATTCTTGAAAATAACATAAAATTTGAATAATAACAATGTGTAGATTATAACAATGAAATCCAGGAATAGGATTTCACAGATTGAGGAAGCAAAGGCAGAGACTCAGGGAGGAAGCAGCAGAGGGAAGAGAGGGAGTTTGAGAAAAGGTGAAAAACTGAAATGGGAGTGTGAGTGACGGCTAGGGTTTGTAACTTAAGAAATTTTATAAAGTGTTAAATATTAGAAACCTTATGGTCAAGTTGGCTTGAAGCAACTACCCAACTTGGAGGTCAGGTGTTCAAACCCTGACGCGAACATGTTTTTGATTATTTATATATGATTTTTTTTTTTTGGATTCGGTTTCCAGACCTTAAAAACCGAAACCTAACTGGCCAGATTCAGTTCGGTTTGGTTTTGGCAGTTTTGGTTCAGTTTTTTTCAGTTCAGTGTGGTTTTCGATTTTTTTCGGTTTTTAGTTTTTTGAACCCACCCTACTTTCACCCTTTAAAAGAGCCTTATTAATTTAATGGGGGTATTTTGTTATAGGCGCCTCAGTTTTAAAATTCTTAGATTTAACATCCATAGTTTTTAGAGTTTTGATCAAACATTATATATACTAAAACCCAGTTGGATTTCGGCACTGTTCAGCAATAGTAAAAGGGCGGAAATGCCCCTGATTTTTTGTTTGCTTAGCCGTTTTGCTGCTGCTTTGCACAGTTAAATATCTGTTATGCCCCTGATTGCCACGCGTTGATCATCCTTTGTCTGTGTGGTTTGATTCCGTCACAGCGAATGCACGACGTTTCCCTTCTAGCCCACGCGTCCATCATCGATGGCCCTTTCAGTTCGATTTCTTCCCAATTTCGCTTCTCTCGCCATTCTCACCTTTTGGGTATTTTGGAACCTAGGTTTTTTTCTCTCGCGCATTGCCATTTTACTTGCTGTTTAGCGTTGCCATCTTTCTCCAGATCGGCAGGCCGATAGAACCCGACAAGGTCAGCATGTAGTTCTATGGAAGTACCGCCTGCAATCTCAGCCATGCTCGCGCCGCCGTCAATTTCATTGTTTTGTTCAGGTTCGCACATTCAATCTCATTATTTGCATGTTTAATTTAATATTCATGCAATTAATTGTGCTTTCAATTAGTGTGGAAGTTGATATGTTTGATTTTGTGCATGTACTTTATTTTTTCTATTTTCTGTTAGAAATTAATTTACTTTTCCTTGGAAATCATTGAGCTCCTAGAAGTTTTTGCCTTTTTTCTTAATTTGATCGAAATCCATTTCTTACCCACATAACCTAGAGCCTCCTGATGAGTTTTTCGTCGTTCTCAGTGTGTCTGATTTAATTTTTTTTTTTTTTTTCGATTTACAGATGGATTTTGTGTTTAAATTTTCTTTTTATAATTTTGGGGGTTTTGTTTATGTGCTCGGATGCTGTGTGTGACTGTCTGATTTCGTTCTTTTTTTGCTTTCAGCAAACGCTGGTGTTCTTATTTTGGGGTTTTGCTGAGGGTATATAATTTGTTGAAATATTTAGTTTTTAATACATTAACAATTTTGCTGGGTCAGTTTTTGTTACTGACTGTTTTTTCTTTTTTTTTTATTTTTTTATTTTTTTTTATTTTTTTTATTTTTTTATTTTTTATTTATACAATTTATTGTCCTAAATTCACAATCTTACACTTCACAAATTTCACTGCTCAACCTATACTCAGGTAATCAGTTCAAAGTTGGACTATTTTAACCCTTTCAGTTTTTAGACTCTATAATGTTAAATCCAGTGTTTTATTTTGATTCTACATTCATTTTGATTTTACTTTTGACTTTCAGTCTACGTTCATTTTGATTGAGTTGTTTTAAGGATTTTGTGGGAGGACTCCCTTTGGAATTGCCGAATGCTGTTATTTGTTGGGTGGATGCCTTGGAAGTAGAGTTAATTCTTACTAAAAAGGTATAGAAGCTTAGCTAGACCTTGATTATCATGTCAGGAAGTAAATAACTATGAAAGCAGCTTCACTATGGTCTGTAGTCATTTGCCACACCTTTGCATGACTCTTATATACCTTTGAAATTGAATTTGGGTTTTGATTATTTCAATTAGTTTCTCTGGTTTATATTTCAAGGTCAGCTGGTTTTGTATTTAGCATCAATCAATTGCTTTTTTCTTGGTGAGTACCTAAACGTTTACACTTTTAGTTTAACAGAAAATGATAAATTGTAGCAAACCCATAAACTTATTTTGTGACTATCACAATATTCCTTCAATATTCTACGTTTTGCTTACAATTCTGTTCTCTCTAGGATGTTTAAGGGCATTTTTGGTTTTTAAGTTTCACCGCCAAATACCAACTGTGTGATTGTGTTTTCTAACCCCTATGTTCTCAATAATGTTAATGTTTTTTGATACCATTTTTACATCTTTCAAACACAATGTTTAATACAATTTTCAAATCCGCAGTCATTTCGAACTCGGATTCAGCCAGCCTGTGGTAAGCCTTTATTTTTCAATTGCTTTCATTTGTTTATATGTGAATCGATAACTTTTTGGCAAATAATGAATGTTGCAATTGCTGATAAATTGATTCTTTGTTTAAAAACTTGAACTGTAGATCTGTGCAAAATATCCATATATGGATCAGTGCCATGGACTCTTCTCAACCTATGGACCTCAAATCTCAGTGCGTCTTCCATCATTTCTCCAACCTCACTATATATGGAACTATTACATTTGCAATCATATTAATTCCTTGAACACAATATTTATATTTCTCTGTAACCTGCTAATTTTGGAATATATTATCGTTTCCTTACTGGTACATGAAAATGAAAATATAAAAATACAACCGGTTTAAGAAGCTAATCTCTTTTAATGTTATTGGTTGTCTACAATAATTTTTAGTTATGTGAACTAGAAACCATGTGTGAACTTGCAAAGTTTCTCTTATCACCCCTCTGGATAGTTTTGTGAACGAAAATAAGCATGTCTCTGTTTGTCTTTGAGTTTTCTCTAATTAAAAGTCGGAACAATGTCAAGACAAGTAGAAAATCCGTTTCTCTACAAAAGAGGCAGTTGTCACTGGTAATCTAGGGAAAATAATTCAGTCAAAGGTGAAAATAAAATTATTAAAGTAAATAATAAACCTTATATAATTTGTTTCTAATCTTTGAATAATTATTGTTGTGTCATCCTGAGAGCACGATTGGTGCAGCTCAAATGGATCTGTACCAGAGCATCTTGCGCAGTAGTATGGTGGCTCTGCAGCTCACAACACTCTTATGTTCTTATTTTATTTTTGGGTTAGAGCATGCATATATTATCTGCTGCTAGATGTCATGATCAATCCCTATATTATATGTGAAATAAGAAAAGAAGGAACACTCTATAACTCTAATCAGATGTCCACTGAAAAGAAAACAAATCATATTATAGACCAATACGTGTTAAAATTGTGTTGAAATAGAAAGATGAATAGAATGTTTCTGATAGAGATTACCCATGATAACAAAATGGTCAGACACTATTTAATGGTTGTCAAGGTTGGATCTTTGTCTTAGTGAATAACAGTACATCTTATATCAGGGAAAAACACTAAGATCTGATACACTATCAATTTCGTATGACAGGAGAAATAAAAGCTTTAGAACGCACTCCTTTTTTTTTTAATTTTTTTTTTCATGTTTCAGTTTGTTTTTCAAATCAGTTGTCAATGCTATATGCTTTTTACTAACATATGTTTTTTGTTTTTAATAGTATACGAACATAAAAAAAAGCCTCCAAACCTCCAAAGACAGTAGCAAGATCTTTGTTGATGGTAAGCTATTATTCTCTGAGATCTGTTTCTTTTTGTTTATTTCACATGTGTGGCTATTTATTGAAATTTGATTTGTCAAGAACTGGAGATGGTCTCGATTTTAAGGTTAAAATTGAATCAACCATGATTTTAAAATAATGGTATTTTTATTAAACCTATAACGATGGACGCATAGGTTATACATGCGGATTGTCACATTATTGTAGTTCTCAATTGATTTATGGTAGGTAGTCTTAACTCTTTGTCTATGTACCAATTTTTTTTATTTTAGTGCTCAGGTAGAAATTACAGAGGAGCTTATTTGTTGGAGATTTGAAGAATAAAACTTAGCAGCGTGGTACCGCCGAAAGTGGTAATTGCTAATCAGGTTTCCACTCTTTTTTCCACACACTTTGGTTCAAAAGCAATATCATTTGAATGATGAAACATTAAGTTAGCATCTCAAGTGAACTGTATTTGCCACTTCTCTTTTAAATGAATTTTAAGATCAGCTCCAATCCATGTTTGTTTAACAATATTGTATCATTCATTATATAGTTTCACAAAGATCGTGCATAATTCTTGCTGAACTTGGTTTGGTTTTCTTTTGTTTAGGGATAGAGTGAGCGAATCATAGTTTGACCAAGTCTTGAATGATGAATTGAGCCAGATCATTGAGGTCTCTTTGTCAAGTTAAATTTTCATTCGACTTTTTATTTGTAATGCTCGGTTCTTCACTCAAACATTGCTTATGAAGTGAACGAATTTGCATAAGTTTGAATACATTTCCAATCCCGCAGCAACGCGCGGGTACCATTGCATATTTCAAAAGACACTTTCCATTACTCAAATAAAAAATATCATTAAAAGTCTAAAAATACAACTAACATCCTATTAAACATAACGTACCAATTATGGACATGATATATGAATGCACATATGTATTAAACATAACGTACCAATAACTTGGTACATAATTGGTACATTATATAATCTTAGTTTTGGTACGTATTAATATTTTGGTACATTACATATTACTAATTTTGGTACGTTATGTTTTTCTTGTTTTAGTATGTACCATGGTATTGGTATAATGTGTTAACTTAACTTTGGTGCGTACAATCTAGTGGTACGTTATGACCCTTAACAAAGAGAGAATTTTTCATATTAAAACTTTGTATTGAAAATTAATTATATCAAATTCTTAACAATTAATTAATGGGATAATGATTCAATCAAAATTTTCAAAAAATATCACTAAAAGTCTAAAAATACAACTAACATCCTATTAAACATAATGTACCAATTATGGATATGATATATGAATGCACATATGTATTAACATAATGTACCAATAACTTGGTACATAATTGGTACATTATATAATCTTAGTTTTAGTACGTCTTAATATTTTGGTACATTACATATTACTAATTTTGGTACGTTATGTTTTTCTTGTTTTAGTATGTACCATGGTATTGGTACAATATGTTAACTTAACTTTGGTACGTACAATCTAGTGCTACGATCACGTGAAGACTGGGCGAATAATTGCAGGTCACCTATGAGTCGGAACCACCTATAGTGGTCTATATGACAAGTCTGTGCACCTACCTTGAGTCCAAGGTGAGCGTAAGGTGCGAGAGGTGAACATCACGTGAAGGACTGTGCCCTGACCACGGGTGAGAGCACTAACATCGGGTGCAGTTATCCATATCTCATCAATCAATACTAGCATACAAGTCGGGAGTCACCTATAGTGACCTGAACTACTTAATCTATAGCTCATCAAACATCCCTGCACACGAGTCGGAACCACCTTTAGTGGTCTGTATGACAGGACTGGTTGTAAATAAGTACACTCAAGTGCTACGATCACGTGAAGACTGGGCGAATAATCGCGGGTCACCTACGAGTCGGAACCACCTATAATGGTCTGTACGACAAGCATGTGCACCTACCTTGAGTCCAAGGTGTGCGTAAGGTGCAAGAGGTGAACATCACGTGAAGGACTGTGCCCTGACCACGGGCGGGAGCATTAACACCAGGGTACAGGTATCCATATCTCATCAATCAATACTAGCATACAAGTCGGGAGTCACCTATAGTGACTTGAACGACTTAATCTATAACTCATTAAACATCCCTGCACACGAGTCGAAACCACTTCTAGTGGTCTGTACGACAGGACTGGGTGTAAATAAGTACGCTTCAAGTGCTACGATCACGTGAAGACTGGGCGAATAATTGCGGGTCACCTACGAGTCGAACCACCTATAGTGGTCTGTACGACAAGCCTGTGCACCTACATTGAGTCTAAGGTAAGCGTAAGGTGCGAGAGATGAACATCACGTGAAGGACTGTGCCCTGACCACGGGTGGGAGCACTAACACCGGGGTGCAGGTATCCATATCTCATCAATCAATACTAGCATACAAGTCAGGAGTCACCTATAGTGACCTGAACGACTTAATCTATAGCTCATCAAGCATCCCTGCACACGAGTTGGAACCACCTCTAGTGGTCTGTACGACAGGACTAGGTGTAAATAAGTACGCTCAAGTGCTACGATCACGTGAAGACTGGACGAATAATCGCAGGTCACCTACGAGTCGGAACCACCTATAGTGGTCTGTACGACAAGTCTGTGCACCTACCTTGAGTCCAAGGTGAGCGTAAAGTGCGAGAGGTGAACATTACGTGAAGGACTGTGCCCTGGCCACGGGCAGGAGCACTAACACCGGGGTGCAGGTTTATGAGCTCTCAAAGCATCTCAATATAACATGTGCAACTCATGGCAACCAGTACGATAGTATCGGAGTTACCTAACACATAAATGTAGTCATGCTATAACGTAATCGATTCAACTAATATCATAAACTCACCTGAACTTACCTGGGTATCCTGCGTTCACCTTTGCACTTGAAAGCATTCCCAATAATTATATGCAAGTAATATACATATGGATATACCATGATGCAATCTAATACTCAACCATGTCGTAGCATTTTCAATTATAAACAATACGGTGTGAAATGTACAATCAATAACGCCCTACTCTCGAACTACTTATTTTCAGGGATAATTATCCATGACAACCCAATTAACACTAATTTAACTAACTAATTCACAAAACTAAAACTTGCCTTTACCAATTTCCTTCGCGTTACTCAATTTCCCAAATAAGGCTTTTGTCTCAAATATATTATGGCTGCATCTAACGTCTTGTTAGACTGCCTACGTACCTTAAACAGGGATCAATCCATTCGTAGTTCATATAGTACTTCAAGCATTCACAATAATTATATATGAAGGTAATATACCTAATCAATTTAAAAGTGTCGATAGAACTCTCAATAATATGTATGATAAAAAGGAAAAGATCCACTCACCTGGAGTCCACGCTATGATTCTCTAGCGCACGCATCGAGGCGTCCTGAATGATTGGTCCTTGTGACCAATTACAAATTACATCTCAGGACTCTTATCCGTAGAATACGTAATTTACATAAAACACAACCTTAAGGGCATTCTAAAATAGTTTGAGACCCATTGACTACAAGTCAACAGTCGATCAAAGATCGACGGTAGGGTCTACAACCCAGTATAACTCGACCCTAAAGATCCGCATATCAGATTTCCAATCCGCAACTTCCAACAATCCACAATATGTTTCTAGAATAATATATTAAAATTTCATTACAATCCAACGGTCAGATCTCCGCCAATTGCCTAAAACAAGTGGTACGTGAACATTTATTTTACTAACTTACATATCCAATTCAGGACAATCTGTAAGTCGGATTCCCGATTCATAAATTCCTATGATCTTTAAATATTACGTATTATAATGTATCCAATTTTGGTGACGATCCAACGGTTGGATCGTCGATTCACATTTTTATCAAGTAACGTATCGTAACGAATTTAGGTTCCAACGATCAACCTACATCATTCAAATGACAAAACTAAATTCAAGACATTCGGAATAGCCTAAAAATAGCATTGGTGGCCCATTGGTCACGCGCCGCCGCACGCGTTGTCGTACGTTGCGGTCGGCTGCCCCGACTCGTCGGAAAATCCAACTATTTCCAAAAATTCTCAAACTTCACAGAAATGAATTTCTCAGTGAGTGGAGCAACTTTCATATCTGCCACAAAGTCCAAAAGTGGACGGAAGATGATCAATTTTGCCCACAAAGCCGGCGGGTGCCTAAAACTTCCCGGTGTCGATTCGTCTTCTACAGTGGTCCAACGGGGTCAAGGTTGGTTGGGTTTTGCTCCTGGGATGATGGGCTACAAAGCCCAAGTGGTGGCATCGGCCATCACTTTGCCGATTTGCCGGAAAATTAGAAAGGGTGCCCGGAGCACCGTGAGAACCGCCAACTTTCGTGGCCTCAAATCGACACATACCGTGGTTAATCAAGGTGGTTCTTGGGTGGGTTTTGTAGAGGGGAATGAGAGTTTCAAGATGGTGGTGGTGGCGTCGAAAAATTCCATCGGAGTTGGCCGGAATTGGCCTTGGAAAATGGATGGTCACACAGGTCGGGTACGAGTGCACGGGAAGCTTACCCATTATGATTATTATTATTATTATTATTTATTATTATTATTTATTATTTTTTTTCCTTCTTTCTTTCTGATTGGCTGCAGGCTTTCCTTCCCTCACTAATTGGTTCCTTGTCCCTTTAATTTAATTGGTCCACTAATCCTACAAAGTGGGAATTCAAATATTTAAATAACCAATTTCAAACGTCCATAACTATACCGCTATAATCCGGACTCGCAAACGGCTTTCGCCCATGCGTTCACACCAACAAGTACTATGAGAATATGTTAAAAGAATAAGTCATACGTCTCTCTAGACGATGGTCAACAGAAGTCAAAATCTTTATATCTATGACATTTTTGTAAATTCACGCTTTTAAAATAAAATAAAAACGTAAAATTTGGAACGGATTGTCACATATTTGGTCATAGCCGTTAGATTATAAGAAAAAAACAAAAACAAAAAAATGTTTGAAATATGGCTTGGTGGATCTAGAATAATTTAAGTCAAGCTTACATCGTGAGAGAATTTAGCGACGAGATAAAAATTTTCAGCATATCTTATTTTAGCCAAATAATAAGAGAATCAAGCAAATTTTTTTAGACAACTAGAGACATGCAAATTGATTTCAACCGTGACAATGATATGGATGATTTAAGAAATATTTTCTAATATGCGTGGGTGTATTCTATAAACAACAAATTTTCACCTTAGTATCCTCAGTGGAATAGTCAACGAGTAAAAAAAAATTAGCAGTTGAGGTTGGTAAATATTATATTGCACATCCTCTTTCTCTTTCCCTCTTTATTTCTGTCTATCTTTTCAGAAATTACTAGAATCTTTTCCGGATTCAATTATGCAGATCCTTTTGATCACGCAATCTTAATCGTTTATACAGACTAGGAATCAATTATGATTTTTGTAATTTTTTTCCCAAACCGACCCATCAGCGCCGTACCTTTTCACTGTTCAAGATGGCTGCAAA